ACTTCATTGCTACACAGTAAAACTACATTACTCTCCCTATCGTAGAGTGAAAATTTCATTCAAATATCTCCATTCATTGCCGAGTTATCGCAATTTTAAATTAACCCTGTATTAAAATATACCTGCTACACGATTCTGTTCGCCTGGTACGGCAAATGGGAAAATTGATGAAATTGCAAGCAGTGTTGCCGAAAGTGGGCATTTATGCCCAAAAGTGGGCATAAATAATGTAAAATTTAGGACTTGGGCGGATTTTGGGCATTTTTTTCGTTTCCGGCACATTTACATTTTATATTTGTTTACCGTACACAAATATGTTATTTTATTGTCACAAGAGTTTATAAAACAGCGAAATATTTCTACCGATGTATTTCGACTAGCTGATTTGATTTAGACATGTTTTTCCGCCCGTCTGTCCATTATAATTTGTATTTATAGATTAATCGTCATTTGTATGTGGATTCGGTTCTACCCAAAGGCGACTCCTATATATTCAAATGAACCTAATACTTTATTTTTGTCTGTAATTAATAATCATCATAATCAGCTAAGGAAAAATCATGGATGTTTTGATGAATATCATTTAATATTTGGCCGGTTGTTTCAGGAATTATTGTCCAACTTTTTTCCCACTTTCAAATATCGCGCCAAAAGTTACAAAATATTTAATGTTTCGGTTGAAACCTGTTGTTTTCTGTAGTGATCTGATAATATTTATGGGATAAAATAGACCAAAATCTTTATTAACGTCTGATTTTAATCGCTCTATAGACCAGATGTATGATCCGAACACCATGTCATTTATCCGGGATGTGGATCTGGGCATCGAAGAACATGACATTATATGGTGGACATGTTTTCTCCAGAAACATATGAAATCATCTCAACTAACTTGACGTATGTGGTCGGATATACCAAAATGTTCATATGTGGACAAACTTTCACTGAAAATGTATGTCTGGTTTTATTTTATGTCATTCAGTCGGTTATGCCGACATATACATATATACGCTCAATCTACGGTTTGATATGGTCTATGAAATTACTCTCTAGTGCCAAGATGGAACATTTTGTTATTATATTGCGACCGAAAATTGCCCTAAATTTAAATTAAGTATAAGTATTAAGGCCTTTCATGTTGAGACCACACAGTATTTGTGCCCTTGAGGCCACATATTCGGATTTAACATTAAGAATCAATATTAACAATCTTTTAAATGTTGTTCCAATCTTCGAACTTGATCTAGGTTTGGTAAAAGTAGGTGGAAAGTTTGAATCAGACATTCCATTTCAACTGATATTAGATGAAACAATTTTAAAAATTTCGACTTTTTGTGGGGAGGTACCAGAAGGAGTGGTTCGATGTTCTCCATCTCCGAACTTGATTTAAATTTGAAAGAAACACAACGTGTGGATGAAATCGGTTACTTCTTTCGAAAGATATCGTGCGCATCAGACAGACAAACGGCCATTTGTAAATGGACTCCAAATTGTCGATTCGGATTTCGTCTAAACGAATATTTCGATGAGGTGCATTTGCCGCAACAAAGTACAAATTTTTAAAACAAAGACATTAAAAAAACTGTTCAATATATAAATCAAGTTTGTTATTATTTGTAGGATGTAGAACAAAAAGGATCCTCGCTTTTAATATTTAACGTCAGTGTATACTTTTTCAATTTTTGGGCATAAATTGTTGATTTTGGGCACTTTTAGGAGAAATTTTGGGCGGAAATAAAATTTCCTAACGGCAACACTGATTGCAAGTCCCCACAAAACCCAAAAATGCCGGATGCGTTGCCAACTAGTTGGCTGTGTGTGTGTGTCCATGTTAGTTGGCGAAATTCTGAGCATACTTTTAGGCGTTACACAAATACCGAAAAACAATGTGGCAACGCATCCAGCATTTTTCGGATTTTGTGTAACGCCTATAAGTATGCTTAGAATATCACCAACCAACATGGAAACATAAAGTAAACTAATTGGCAACGCATCCGACATTTTCGGGTTTTGTGGACATACAATTTCATCAATTTTCCCATTTGCCATACCAGGCCAACAGAATCGTGTAGCAGCTATATTTTGACACACGATCAATTTCAAATGGCCATAACTCGGCGATGAATGGAGATATTTGGATGAAACTTTCACTATTCGATGGGGTGAGCGATGTAGTTTTTAGATGTGACACCAAATTGGGAGACAAAAATATCCGAAAGAGGATATATTTTTACTAAGGAGCCGTTCATTTTTTACAAATTTTTTGAAGGCTTATAGTAGAGGATATTTGTATCTACCCCCAGCCTTTAGGCTACTGATACCTATATTTATAATTTTAGTGAGGAGATTTGGTACCCCAGTTAAAAAAAAAAACTCGCTCAAAAACCCTTAAAATACCGAAAATTGGTGTGGCCCTTATATGGGAGCGATGCCTAGACGTGGACCGATATATCCCATCTTCGAACTTGTCCTGCTTGCAGACAAAAGACGACTCTCTATACAAACAAATTCGTTTAGTGTCTAGAGTGTTTACAAACAGACAGACGGACATGGCTAAATCTTCATCGAATTTTACGCTAATCAAGAGTAGATATATATATATATATATACTTTATAGGGTCGGAACCAATAAGAGATGATGGTATAGAGTGTATACCACCAAGCCAATATGAGGTCATAAAAGCAATTAATCGGCTCAAGAACAGTAAAGCAGCGAATGGGTTACCAGCCGAACTATTCAAGACTGTTGGCCAGATGCTGGTCAGGAGCATGCACCAGCTGATTAGTACAATTTGGCTAGATGAATGCATGCGCAATGATTGGAACCTCAGCATCCTGTGTCCCGTGCACAAAAAGGAGACAAGACGATATGTGCCAACTATAGAGGAATAAGTCTCCTTCCCATCGCATATAAAGTGACATCCAGTGTGCTGTGTGAACGATTGAAGCCAATGGTCAATGACATCATTGGACCATACCAATGCGGCTTCAGACCTGGCGGCAAATTCACCATTGACCAGATCTTCACTCTGCGCCAAATCCTGGAAAAGACCTACGAAAAACACATCGACACATACCACCTATTTGTCGGCTATAAAGCCGCATCCGACAGCCCTATCCGTTCAGAGGTGCTTTAAGTCATGTCTACGTTGGGCATTCCTGCAAAATTAATACGGCTATGCAGGATAACTTTAAGTGGCACAGGTCAGCAGTTAAAGTAGGAAAGGACCTATCGGAGCCCTTCAATACCGAATGAGGATTCAGACAAGGTGACAGTTTGTCGTGTGATCTTTTTAACATCCTGCTGGAAAAGGTCATACGAGACGCAAAGGTGAACAGAAAGGCAACCTGTACACCAAACAACACATGTTACTCGCCTACGCCGGCGATGACATCGATATAATGGGTCGAACATTGCGAGCGGTAACAGCCACATTTGAACAAATTGAAAAGGAGTCTGCCAAAGTGGTGGGTCTGGCAGTAGACGGCGAGTAGACCAAACTGATGGTATCAACGTGCAAGACGTCCAGTAAAATCGGACCAACTGTGGAACTTGAGAACTACAGCTTCGAAGTAGTCAAAGATATTATATACCTTGGTACCACCAGAAACAAAACGAATGACATCAGTATTGAAATTCGGAGAAGGATTGTGATGGCCAACAGATGCTACTATGGTCTAAATAAGCAGTTTAGAAACAAGGCCATCTCCCGCCAGACCAAACTCAAACTTTACAAGACGCTGATACTACCCGTGCTATTATATGGATCAGAAGCATGGGTACTTGCGCAAGCAGATGAGACAGCTCTTGGGGTGTTTGAAAGTAAAATTCTCCGAAAGATCTACGGGCGAAAGATCTGCGTCGACGGTGAATATCGGCGTCGAATGAACCACGAGCTCTCCAATTTATACGCGGCTAGGTGGTATACACTCTATACCATCATCTCTGATTGGTTCTGGGGTATCTTCTTTACCGCCACTATTTGATACCAGAAGCTCTATCCAGATCCTCAACACGCTGTCAGTATATCTCACCAGGTTTCCTTCTGCACATCTCTACACGTGGATGTGCCTGCACCAAAGCCTTCGGTTTGGTGTTTTACGCGGTGTTGGTAAAATTACTTTCCTCAGGATTGCCCTATACCCTGCGTTTTTCATATCAGTAGCATTACGACACTCCTGATCGTACCACGGATTTCTTGATGGTGGTCTTTGGTACCCAAGTGTTGCTATTGCTGCAGTTTGTAGGGAGTGGACAATTCTCTGCCAATGTGCTTCTATATTATTATCGGGACATGTAGTGCTTTCGTCAAGCTGTTGGGTAAGTTGAGCGGGGTAGGCCTCGGCTACCTGTTGTGTTTGCAGCATTTCGACGTCAAATTTCCGTGTTACATTAGATCACACCTTTGCTGCTACATTAAGACGGGTGCGTACCTTGTCTGCCACATGGTAATGGTCCGAATCGATATTCGCTCCCCGGATCGATCAGACGTCTAAAACACTGGATGAATGCCTTCCGTCTATCACAACATGATCGTCGATTTGATTTCTCGTTGTTCGATCGGGAGAAATCCAAGTGGCCTTGTGTATATCGAGATGCTTGAATCTGGTGCTGATCATCCTATCATCCCCTACGCCACCCTCTTCACAATTCTATCCGTCATTTATTTGCCATAAATAAATGTCCATTTGGAAAAATAAACATATCACACAGCAGGATATCGGGATATCAAAAAGTAACTGTGACATTATGAACTTCTTCATGAAATGTCGAAGTTCGTTAAACCAGTCAAGCGTCAGAATAACATTTACACATCAACACACACATACATACACACCTACATTGCATTTGTAAAATGTGTAACAATTTCAAAACCCCAACATTTCAACTCTCCTATCCTCCGCATACATATATTAATCAAATGTAATATTTTAAAACAAAATTGTTAACCTCTCTGCTCTCCTCTCTCTCCCCCCTCTCTTTCTCTCTTTATCCGTAGATGAAACCACCAGCACTGTATTTGGCATGGATATGACATGGATTGTAATGATTGTGGTTAGTATCCTGCTGATAATAAGTGCCGCCATTGTGGGCATAACCATATGTGTGTGTCGGCGGCAGGACGATGGTAATAATCAGCATACAACGGCCATGCAATGTAAGTTACACACTCACACACACACACATTCATATAAACAATTACAATAACTTCTTCTCTGGCTTCTCCACAGTACATCACACGGCCGAAACGAATGGCTCCTCGAAACACCTGCATTACACACACGGCATTGCCGGAGGCGGTGGCGGCGGCGGTACACTAAGCCGTGAGCACACCCAACTACCGCCAACGTCGGGAAACTGGCATCACCCTGCGGGACCATACGGGTACCTCCGCACGCAACTCAACTACTTGAAGATGGCCACCAAAGTCCGTCCCATCTGGTGCTTGGCAAATTTCGTCAATTAGGTCAAGATCTCTCAGCAACGTCCGCTAACAATTTGGGCATGTCCCAGACAAACATCGCAATCAATAATGTGGCCGCAAATCCCGCCAATGCTGTGGGTGCTGCCCAAAAAGATGAATGGTTTGTCTGAGAGGATGTGTCCAAAAAAATAAATGATGGAGTCCCGTTGGAGATTTCTATGATTGTTAAAGGAGAGATAGAGAGATATAGAATGAGAGAGAGAGAACAAATTGATAACCTAAATTGAAGAACAAGAAACGAAAAGAAAACTACAACAAAACTAAAGGAAGAGAAACAAATTTGCACAGCATTAAATGAAGTAAGTAGAGGGTAGGGATAAGTAAATCGACTTTCGACTAATCGATTAATCGACTTTTTATATTGAAAATTCTAAAAGTCGAAGTCGACTTTTGGATCTATGAGAAAATCGTAAAGTCGGTATTTCAAGATCGACTTTCGATTTTCTTCATAAATATTTGGTTTTTTATCGCAAAGCTCAAATTGTCCAAAAATTGCGCTTTAGTCAAAGGCAAAAATCGAAAAGTCTAAAAGTCGACTTTTGCGCTCGACTACGTATCCCTAGTAGAGGGAGGGGAGAAACATAGTAGTCTATGCACATAATGGAATAATTTATTGTAACTTAGTAGTCCTTGCCTTATTCATATTTTTTGGTATTGTTTGTCGTTGGTTCTTCTCCTGACTTTCCTTTTCGAACTTCGATCCTCAGAGCAACACAAATGTTGCCAGGCCACTTAACGTTCTGAGCCATCAACACACTTCCAAAAACGGTTGCGCAAAAACATGTGTATACCATGGAAACAATTGTAGGTGCGTGGATTAATTATCCATCGCTACAACAAAAATCTGCTTTTGAATCTTGACAAATTTGAATTTAATTCGCATATGCAAGGTTTGCCTCAGGGCGGAATAAATATAAGTTATCAACATACGACCTTTGTAAAGCCGCATAGCCCAATATGCCCGATTAGCCGCTTAACCAACGGCGAAACGCGTCGCATGATGGTGGGTGCGTAGGTTCTTTTCCTGGCTTTCTTGTTCATTGCAAAACTTCGATCATTAAAGCTCGACTCGAAAGAGTATAAATAACTCACTTAAAATGTCGTTGGAAATATTTAGAAAGTTAGTCTCTATTGAATTGTCTTGCTGTTATTATTAATATCAATATCTCGTCGGAAATTCAGCCTCCATGAAGAAACATCAGACAACGGCATGAGGTTGATTGACTTCGCGCGGCAGAAAAAAAAACATGGTAGTTAGCAGCACCAGATTTAAGCATATCGATATACACAAAAGGCCACTTGGATTTCTCCCGATCGAACAACGAGAAATCATTCATCCAGTGTTTTAGACGTCCGATCGATCCGGGGAGCGAATATCGATTCGGACCATTACCTTGTGGCAGCCAAGGTACGCAACCGTCTTAATGTAGCAGCAAAGGTGCGATCTAAAACAACACGGAAACTCGACGTCGAAAAGCTGCAAAAACCCAACAGATAGCAGAAGCCTACTCCGCTCAACTTACCCAACTGCTTGACGAAAGCACCCCTCGGCCCCCAATAATAATATAAAAGCACAACGGCAGAGAATTGCCCACTGCCTACAAACTGGAGCAAAAGCAACACTTGGGTACCTAAAACCATCAGCAAGAAATCCGTGGTACGATCAGGAGTGTTGTAATGCTACTGATGTGAAAAACGCAGGCAACCCTGCAGACGACGTGCAATACGTAAAGTGATGGAGAATTATCGGGAGAAAATGAGAGAGGAGAAACGTGTTTTCCGGAAAAGAGAAGAAAGACGTGAGCAAATCAAGATGTACAGTTTTTTTTAAATTCAGATAATAATAGTGATGGCCAACCGATGCTACTATGGTCTGAGCAAAAAACTCAAAAGCAAGGCCACCTCCCGCCACACCAAACTCACACTCTACAAGACGCTGATACAACCCGCCGTGCAGTTATATGGATCTGAAGCATGGTTACCTTCGCAAACAGATGAGGCAACTCTTGGAGTGTTTGAGAGAAAAATTCTCCGAAAGATCTAAGGGGCCGATCTGCGTTGATGGTGAATATCGCCGTCGAATGAACCATGAGTTGTACCAGCTGTTGCAATAAGGCCATGTTGGATTGCAATAAGGCTTCAACTCCATTGGATCCGGAGTTTAAAGTGAAATGTGATTATAAGCGATGCAAACGGATAGAAAGTGCAGGTTATCAGTCGGGACAATTGGGACCCTTATCTATTTGGCATTATGTACCCGTCCAGATATACTGTTTTCAGTTGTAAATCTGTCTGTATATGGTGCAAAGGTACTATATAGATCAAAGGAACTATATGGAAAAAACGAAAACAAAAAGAACGATGAAAGAAAGAGATTCAAAGGAACTATGTAGCAGTCGGAACTATATGAAGAAAAGGTACTGTATGGGGTAAAGGAACTATATGGAGCAAAGGAACTACATTAAGGAACTAATTAATTTTTTTAAAAAAGGAACGAGAACGATTTTTTTTCAAGGTCTACTACAACGCTTGGATTTTTTAAATATTTTTATACCCTTCACCACACTGTGGTACAGGGTATTATGTATTTGTGCATATGTTTGTAACAGGCAAAAGGAAGGATAGACACATGGTTCCTTTTGAGAAAATACATAGAATCACTTTCTAAGTCGATATATGCATGTCCGTCCGCCCGTCCTTCTGTCTGTCCATGTTAAATTGTAATCAAAGTACAGGCCACATTTATTATTCGAATTGGATGAAATTTGGCACAGCCCATTCATTTGGCCCAAGGACGAACCCTATTGAAATTGGGAAAAATCGGTTCAGATTTAGATATAACTCCCATATATATTTTTATCCGATTTAAAGAAAATGGTCCACCAAAGTCCCTAAATATCTTTGGATTTGCACGAAATTTGGCAGAGCGTACTGAATTGAGCCTATAATTATGTGTGTTAAGTTTCGTGAAAATCGGTTCAGATTTATATATAGCTCCCATATATATTTTCATCCGATTTAATGTAAATGGTCCACTAAAGGCCCTATATATCGTTCGATTTGCACGAAATTTGGCACAGCGTACTGAATTGAGTCTAGAATGATGTGTGCTAAATTTCGTGAAAATCGGTTCAGATTTAGATATAGCTCCCATATATATTTTCGCCCGATTTAAGGTAAATGGTGCACCAAAGTCCCTAAATATCTCTCGATTTGCACGAAATTTGGCACATCGTAGTGAATAAGTACAGAATGATGTGTGCTAAGTTTCGTGAAAATCGGTTTAGATTTAGATATAGCTCCCATATATATTTTCGTCCGATTTAACGTAAATGGTGCAGCAAAGTCCCTAAATATCTTTAGATTTGCACGAAATTTGGCACAGCGTAATGAATTAAGCGTAGAATGATTTGTGCTAAGTTTCGTGAAAATCGGTTCAGATTTAGATATAGCTCCCATATATATTTACATCCGATTTAAGGTAAATGGAGCACTAAAGTACCTAAATATCTTTCGATTTGAGTCTATAATGATATGAATTGAGTCTATAATGATATGTGCTAAGTTTCCTGAAAATCGGCTTAGATTTACATATAGCTCCCATATATATATTCGTCCGATTTTTCAAGGCCTAAAATTTATTTATATTAATATTTTTACTAATTATTTTTTTCGATTTTTCTTTTCTCTATTTCCAGGACTGTTAATAAAAACCAAAAAAACCTAAAAAACTTTTTTGAACTCAACATCAATTATTAATAATAATGGAAAAAGAAATATATAATTAAACCTAAATATATATTTTTCTTGGTGGACATCACCACGCAGGGTGTATGTAATAAGAGATTTTTTGTACCCAAATCTCTTAGACTAAAAAAATCAACAACAACAAAAAGAACAACAAAATGAAGAAGATTTAACAACAACAACAAAATTACTAAGAAACAGAAATTAAAAAAAAAATATTGAAATAAATGAAAAAAAAATCTATCATAAATTCTGTAAATAATTTATAAATAAATTTCAGTTAATTATGTTTCAAATAAATTAAATTAAATAATAGATTCAAATAAAAATTGATTTGTATTTTTTTTTTTTTTTTTTTTTGAAAAATGATGCAATTGAATAATTTTTGTGAAATTTTTTCAATAACTTTAAATGCAAATATGTCAAAATTTAAAAAAAAAATTAACAAATTTCAGAATTTTTCCAAAAAATTGTGTCATCATAAAAAAGCAACTATAAATTCAATTTTTTTTTTTAATTTTTAAAAACCAAATGTTATATTAAAAAAATTAATTGTTCTTTTTCAATATTATATAAATTCGATTTTTTTTATAATTTTTAGAAACCAAAAATTCTGTTATAAAAATTAAATTGTTCTTTTTTTAAAAAATTCAATATTTGAATATTTTTTAAATTTTATTTATTTATATATTATTTTATTTGATTAAAAAATTGCATTTAGAAGAAATATTTAGAATTATTAAAATAGAAAAAAAACTTAAAATTAAATATCAAAATATTTAACATATTATTTTTTTCAATTTAATTTTATTGTATAAAAAATCTAAAAACCGAGAGAATTGCTAATAAAAATTTAGTTTAAGTTAAAAAAAATATTCCAAACCTCCCATATGTTTTTGGACTCCATAGTTTATCCAAAACTGCAAACCAAACCCCATGTATAACAGTATTGAAGCTCAAATTTTTTTATTGAAAAAAACTCAAAACCAAAAAAAAATGAAATAAAAATATTAACTAACAATTTTTTTTCGAATAACGTAACAGACTTCCATATATAGAAATTGAAAACAAAAAATGAAACTAAAACAAAAATATTACCGTTAGATTACAAAAAAATCCTGCCCTAACTAATCCAACTTTGTCCAATAATATACAGACATATATACATACATAAATACAAAAATAAATTAAAAAATAATAACAACCTCTGAAAACCAATAACAATAAAATGAAAAAAATTTAAATAAAAAACCATAAAACAAAACACTAAAAAAATCCAGTTTTTATTTTATTCAAAACCAAAAAAAAAAATTAAAAAAATAATTGTGTTATAATTATTTGTAATTTTAATAATATATTATT